AGAGGGGCAGGGAGGAGGAGGGGGGAGCAGGGGAATGGAGGAGGGGGGAAGAGGAGCAGGGAGGAGGGGAGAGGAGCTGTCCCCCGTGGGAGCATCTTCCACGCTGTGGGCAGGGCAGCAGCCCCAGGCGGCTCTGCAGTTGTTACGGGCAGACAGGCATGGACACAGGCCTGTGCTGGCAGACATGCCACGGGGCCTGAGAGGAAGGAAGCCCCAGGACAGATGTGCCCATGGCACAGTTCCCTGAGGTCTGGAGGCGTGGGTGCTGGTGCTGCTGTGGGCACGGGGAGTGGTCCGTGCGGCTGGGGACAGGTGTGGCGGGGCCTGGGCGTGGGAGTCGCACACAGGGCGGGGTGACCGCCAGGCCAACGGCCTCTGTTTGGACCAGACTCAATGGTGCTGTGATCAAAGGCTTCGAGAAGGATGTGGGCACCAAGACCTCCTTCTACGGTTTCACTGTGAACACGATGAAGAACTCGCTCATCGCCTACAGAGCAGCGGGCTTCACCTCCGTGCCGCGAGGACAGGTGAGGCCTGATGGGCGCTATGGTTCCCGGAGCCCCTCCACGGGGAAGCCCGGGTTCCCGAGCCCCGGGCTACTGGTGGGGACTGTGCCAGGACCTTGGGCGCGGGGAGGGAGCTACTGAGGAGGAGGTCCGGGCAGGGATGCCCGCTGCTTCAGGTGGCGCTGCACCGCTCTAGACTGGTGGGAATGGTGAACATTTAGTGAGTGCTGATGGGTGTCAGGCAACCTCCACACGCCCCGCAGCCCACTGTCCTGGTGAGGAGGCTAAGCACTGGGGTCCAAACCCAGACTCCCCTCCAGGGCTCCTCGGCTCCCAGCACTGGCCTTGCCATCAGGGCAGCCATCTCCAGCTGGCAGCGGTGCAAGGCCCCTCTGGCCAGACCTGGGGTTCCCCGTCTCCCATGCTACCCCCAGAACAGGGGGTGTGCCTTCTGAATTCTCACAGCAGCCTGTGCAGGGAGCTGAGGTTCAACGAGACTGAGGAACATGCCCAGAGGAACTAGCATCTGCTCCCCGCAGCTTCCTTCAACCACACCCAGTTTCTAGAACGACACTTCCCCTCAAGAAGGTCTGGGTGCCCCGTGCAGGGTTAGAGAGATCGCAGGATAAGGGGTCCTGTGATGCTCTATAGAGCGGGTTGGGTTTCTAGAAGCTTCCTCCTCTGAGGAGGAAGTGAAGGAGTGTCCTAGCCAGTGTCTATGCCCCAGAGTCTCACAGGACTTCTCTTGGCTCGAGACAGAAGTGGGGTAGCTTCATTTCTGATGTGGCCACAGTACCTGTATGAGTTACCCACTGCTGTGTAACAACATACCCCCTTAAACTTAGTAGCTTCTTTCTTTACTTTTTAATAGGTTCTTATTGATTTCAGAGAGGAAGGGAGAGGGAGAGAGATAGAAGCATCAATGATGAGAGAGCATCATGGATCGGCGGCCTCCTGCATGCCCCCCACTGGGGATGGAGCCTACAACCTGGGCCTGTTGCTCTGACCGGGAATCAAACCATGACCTCCTTGTTCAGAGGCCAACGCTCAATCACTGAGCCACACCGGCCGGGTATTAGTGGCCCTAAACACACACATTTATAATCTTACAATTGCAATGAGTCAGGAATTTGGAAGCAGCTTAGCAAAGCGGTTTGGGCTCAGGGCCTCTCAGGTGGCTGCAGTCATCGGAAGGAAGGCCCTTGACGCACGGGCCCCTCTGTGGCTGCTGGCATCCTCATGACAGTGACCCCAGAGAAGGGAGGCAGTGCCTTCCACGGCCTGATCTCACCGCCACCCCAGGGTTTCCTACTCATTAGAAACTCGCGGCTCTTCGGCACTAAGCCGGCCCGTCCTCGGTCCTTGGGATGGCGAGTGAGCTGCGCCTCTGGAGGGAAGGGCACCACGGGATTCGAGAGCAGGGCACTGCCGGGCTGAGAGCGCCTGTCGGGGCAGGACTGGGTGGAGGGCCGTCCCTTCCGAGCAGGACCTAGACGTGGCCTGGTTCCCACCCGAGCTCCGTGTCCCTGTTGTCCCAACAGGACCTGCGCTACATCTTCATCCCCTCAGACCTCCGTGACTATGTGATGCTGAGATCAGCCATTCTGGGTGTGCGCGTCCCCAGTGGCATCGATAAAGGTGACAGGTGAGCAGCCACGCGGGGCAGGGCATGGTCATGCCGTGGCCATCGCTGCTCCTGAGACCCCTCCCCCACATCAGGAGGGCAGGTGGGGGAGGGCAGGAGCAGATCCCAGAGCTGGGCTGATGCTCCTTCCCGCCAGGAGAGCCCAGGTCAGCCTCCCGTCCCCGTCCCCGGGCGCCTCCCGGTCCGCCCAGCGCAGGCTTTTCTGAACGGAGCAGGCAGACCTGCTTCTGAGCTTCAGGCTGCTGTCCCCAAAGCAGCCCGCCACCAGCCGGCAGCATGCGGGCTCCACAGCTGGGCCTGCGGTGCTGGTGAGCCGGTCTCCATGCCGCTCCTCCTGGCGGCACCCTCCCGAGACCGTGCCCCTGACACGGGGGAGCGGGAACAAAGGGCACTCTGTGTTGTCTCCCGCCTTCCTGGGCAGCAGCCTGTGCCGCTCCTGAGCCACGTCCCAGCCTCAGCCCCGCCCTCTCCTGGCGCTGCTGGCAGTTTCTCATCCCTGAATCCGGTCCTTGGACATCTACCCCGCCCCTGGCCACACAATGACCACCGCCTACCTCAGCCCCCCGCCCTGGAAGCACAGCTGCTAAGAGCCTCCTTAAAAGTGAACCCCTCCCAGGCCAGGAGAGCACCCCCAGGCTGGCCCTGCGCCCTGCTCCCCGCCCCGCCCGCCCTGTGATGACCCAACAATTGCTCACAATGCGGCGGGGGTCATGAGAGTGGGCTTTGTGACATGGGCGGGGACCAGGCTCTTGGGGGTGCTGTCTCAGAGACCTGGGGTGCTCACAAGCCTTCTCAACACCAATGAGCTCCCCCTCCCAAACCCCTAATCCGTCCCCTGCCCAGTCCCCCTCCCAGTCCCGGACCAACCACAACAGCAGCCCTGCCAACCAGCCCTACTCCAGCTCGGGTGGTTCAGCCCCTTCCCCGACCCCCACCCGGTCCTCCTCCCGCCCCCCCTCTCACCCTCCTACCCCCTCCGCTTCGCAGCCCCCCTCCCGGGCTTCCTCCCTGAACCCCAGCCCTCATTCCCAACACGTGTCTCGAGCATCTCCCCCAACCGCCACTCCCCCTGCCTCCAAGTCTCCCTCCCAGTCGGGCCTGAAACCTGCCTCCCGGAACAACTCCCAGACTCCCCCGGGGCGCTCCTCCAGGTCCCCCTCCTACAGCCCTATGGGCTCGGGCTCCTACATCGGGTCCATTCCGGGAATCCCGTCCCAGATCACCCCGTACGTGCCCCGCTTCCTGTAGTCCCTCTACCTCCCTCTCCTCCAGCCCCCGCCCCACTACCCCAACGCCATCAACAACTTCCCGACGCCTCCCAACCTGTTCACACCCCCGTGCTCACTCAGCTACAAGCTGCCCACCGACGTGCTGGTGGGCTCCAAGCCGCCGGTGGTGCCCTCGGTGCTGCCCGCCACCTTCTACACGCCCTTCTCCCGCTACTACTCGCAGCCGCGCTTCTACTACCGCTCCCTGCCCCGCCGCCGCTCGGGCGGCTACCTCTCCATGCAGTACGAGAGCCTTATCCGCTCCGTCCGCTTCCTCCCAAAATAGGCCTCAGACCTATTTCGGACCAGAAGCCTCTGCCAGCAAATTCAAGCTACTCCATCCAGCCTTCATCAGCTACCTGACGGAGAGGTAGGTGGTCGGGGTGGCAGCGCCCCGCACTGCTGGCCTTCCATTTAGGCCCATCTGCTCTCACCGAGCCAGAGCCACACGCCAAGCAGGTGCCAAAGCCTTGTTATCGGTTTAGCTACTACTTCAGCACCTCGATGGAGGTGGTGGGCACCAATCAGGGGAACAGGGCTGTTTATTTAAAAAAAAAAACACAACTTACTGATTTCAGAGAGGGAGAGAGAAACATCGATGGGAGAGAATCATTGATTGGCTGCCACCTGCACACCCCCTACTGGAGATCTAGCCTGCAACCTGGGCATGTGCCCTGACCAAGAATCGAACTCAGACCTCATGGTTCATAGGTCGACATTCAGCCACTGAGCCACGCCGATGGGGCACCAGGGCTGTTATGAAGGCACAGGCTGGGTGTGGGCTACCATGAGGTGCGGGGCAGTAGCGGAAGCTGAGCTGCCACCATCTTCAGGCTCAAGGTGAGCACAGGGAGAAGCCAGGGAACAGGACCTGATCTCATCGGTGGCCCTGCCCGTGGTTCTCCATGGCGGGGCGGGGCCACTGGTCCGCCTGGAAACATTTTGGTGGGCACTAGGCGAGTGCAAGCACCACTAGTGCGTAGAGGCCAGGGCGGCTGCTGAACATCCTGTAATGCACAGGACGCCCCCAGCCAAGATTGGCCCTTTATTTATTTTTAAATGTATTCTTATTGATTTCAGCGAGGGAGCGGGAGAGGGAGAGTCACTGATCAGCTGCCTCCTGCACGCCCCCGACTGGGGATCTAGCCTGCAACCCGGCCTGTGCCCTGACCGGACTTAAACCGTGACCTCCTGGTTCATAGGTTGACATGAACCAGGCCCTTTAAAGTGTCACTAGTGCAGCAGCTGGGTGAGAAACCTGCTGCAGCCGAGGCGAGCACCCCGGGCGCGGTGAGGGTCCAGGTGGGCCTGGGCAGCAGGGGCCCAGCAGTCACAGGCACGTGCAGAGGACACGCCCAGGCCAGGTCTGCCGGAGGAGCTCGGGTGTGAATCCAGGGCTGAGGCCAGGGCCTGTGGTCACCAACGAGGGAAGGGGTGTCACTCCTGTGCTACCTCACCAGTGACTCCAGTCACAGGACCTGTGTGGTTCCTGCTTGGCCAGGAGTGTGGGGAGAGGGAGAAACTTGGGTCTCAGACTAAACGCAGGCCGCCTGTGCCCCAGTGCTGCGGTTACTCACTAGCCCAGCGCGGAGGGAGGGCAGGAGGCACCAGCCAGGCTGGATGCAGGCTTCCAGGAGGAAGCAGGCTCCCCTCCTCACCCCGTCATCTAAGGGGGTGGTCCAATCAAAGGAGACTGTGGTCTTTAGGATCAGTTTCCCCAAGAAGAGACCTGATGGGAGAAGGGCCAGGAGCTCCCCGGCCTTTCCCAGTCGGTCACTGCAATGGTGTAACTATCAGCTGCTGTGCAAGATCCAAATGTCCGAGTTTCAATGCCGTTTTGCTTCCAGGTTTTTGAAATCAAAGCGGATTATCTCAAAATTTAAAGACTTATATATGCCTAGTACCGGGGCCCTCATGCTGCTGACAGCGCTACATGCCTGTGACCAGGTAAGCGGCCTCTCGGGAACCCACAGCAGTGTCCAGGTGTGAACGGAACCGGACTTATCCCAGGGCCCACACGAGGCGGCACCTCAGACCTGATCCCCCAGCTGCAGGAGGGGTCTAGGGAAGGCAGGGGAGAGTCGCATCCAATACCCAGGGTCCTTTAGGGGCCCCACCCACACTTCCTTCTTTCACGCCCTTGTCCCAGGGCAGCCACTCTACGTGGCATCCAAGACACATTACAAAATGCTCTTCTGAAAGCAGCCTTCTCCACAACGACCCCTCCCCCAGGACATGCACTGATGGGGACACTTTAGAGGTGGGTGGGACAGCAGGGCTCGCCCCCGCAATCGCTGGTCACTCCAAGAGTCGTTCCATAGGAGCCACAAGGAAGACTCAGCCGTTTTCAAAGGCAGGCAGTGACCCCCACTGAGGCCACAGGGCTCTGGCCCTACCTCGTACAGCACAAGTCTCACTTATAAGCTGCACCCATTGTTCACCTGCATCCTCACAGGCATAAGATGGGGGCGGGGGCGGGACTGGGCTTTCCTGAATCCATGTCACTTGACCTGAGTCTGCAGGCAGCAGCTCAATGCCCATCTTTGTCCAGGTTAGTGCCTATGGATTCATCACGAGTAACTTCTGGAAGTTTTCCGACCACTACTTCGATCGAGTTAAGCAGCCACTGGTGTTCTATGCAAATCACGACCTGTCCCTGGAGGCAGCTCTGTGGTGGGACCTGCACAAGGCCGGCATCCTGCAGCTGTACCAGCACCGAGGTTGATTCTTGCTGAGCTGGGGGCCAAGTCCCCGAGACCCACTCCTTCCCTCAGGTGACACTGAGGTGTGTGACTACCACCGAAGCCTGTTCATTGTGAAACACCCTATCTTGCCCTTGGTTCATTCAAGAAAGCTCCCACGTCTGAGTGTGCGCGCACCCGCATGCCCAGGCCGCTTCTGTGAAGACTCCGGGGCCAAGGGAGAATGGACTGTCCCACCGGCTTTGTTTAAAACGGAACACTCCCAAGATGTGACGTCACCCTCCCCAAGGGGCAGGTGGACCTCAGAGCTGAGCCTCAAGACCGACAGGTGCTGAGCAGCACCGGGAAGTCCATGGAGGACTCGGCCACACTCCCTCACGGGCACCTGCACACTCCCAGCCAGTCCTCCCACGGACATGCGACCTCCAAGACAATTCAGCTCAAGGACGCGTCTTCACCTTTCCGAGACCATGACCGACATACACGAGCGCCATGAGAAAGAGGCAGCGCAAAAGGCAGAATGTAATCTGAAACCAGGTAATTGCATAAATGATGGATGGCCGTCTCGTTTGTTGTGTGTTGAGGTGGAAGTAGCACGCCGTGATACCATGCAGGGGTGTAGCGGGGAGACCAGAGAACCCCAGAACCACGGGAAGGTTCTGGTATTTGACGGGGCCGAGTGCACAGAAGGTTGCCTGCCTGAGGGGATGCCCGTTCCAGATATATTGCCACCTTGTCACCAAGATGGCATCCTGTAATGAACCCCCTTACTCTGTACTGAACATCACGGTGCCACAATTTGAACTCAATTGATAGGCAGTTTCACTTCGGCATTATACAGGCTCCTACTGGAAGCCAAGCTATCACCGCC